TATCTTCCTCAAAGAATTAAAAGAATCATACCACAGTGATATATGTGCACCCTTGGTTACAGCAGCACGGTTTGTAATAGCTAAAGCTTGGAAACAGCCCAAATGCCTATCAATTGGTGACTGGATAAAGAAGATGTGGGTTTTTTTTAATAAAATGGAGTACTACTCAGCCATAAAGAACAAGAAACTAGAGACATTTATAGCTAAATGGATGCACCTTGAGACCATACTCTTAAGTGAAATAAATAGGACACACATGGGTAAATACTGAATAGTTTCTCTGGTGTGAGAAACTGAAAGTGTAAATGAGGATCAAAATGTATAATAGATAATGTGAAATAGGAAGAAAAGGTCCGAAGGGGAAGTGGAAGGAGAAGTGGAGGGGTTGGGGAAAGGAAAGAAGGGAAACAAAAAAATATGAGAAAAGGAAAAAAATGGAAACAAAGTCTTTGTAAATAGGGAGGGGTGGAGGTGTGGAAGGGAGGGCAGGGGAATGTGGAAAAAATAAGAACCAAGATATATCATGTAAAGGTACAAATTCCCAATGATGAATGTCATCATATTGTATACCTAAAATGTACCAATAAACTTAATGAATTAAAAAATAAAAGGAAAAGAAATGAGAGGGAAAGTTTACACAGTTAAACTTAAGCCTAACTCCTTACAAAAGGTGGATTTCCTGTACAACTGTTACAACAAGGAGAGGATTAGGGACATCATACATTCTGCTTGGGTCAGAGAGACAGAAGCAAATAATTGCAAAGGAGCTAACTGCTCTTCTCTAAGGTCTCCAAGGTTCGCCATATGCTAGAAGACAAATTCTGGTTGTAAACCAAACTTCTCAGCTACAGATAACTTCGTATGTAACAATGGCACAAAGAAGATTTAAAGCTCTACCAGTACCACTGGACATCTATAGCTCTCTACCTCTCCAGAGATACACATGTGGCACATCCTCAAACTTTTGTAATTTAGGATTACCAATAACACAAAGGAAGTATAAATGATCACGAAAAGAAAGCCAGTCTACTGGCTTCAATACTTCAATTCTCACCCCTCACAGCAAACAACACCAACAGCACACACCAGAAATGTCTCTTGGGTGCCCTCTTGTTGCTACCAGGGCTTTTCTACAAGGCTGAAATGGAGGCATGCTCTACAAACTAGTAGAGAAAAAAAAAGAGAGGAGGCCAGGGCACAGAAAAGGGAAGTTATTCCAGTGGTGGCGAATGAGTAACATCCAATGATTTAGAGGAAGTATAATCCAATAATACAGTAAAGTAAAACAGTGTGTGCCTGAGATGGTTTTGATTCCAAAAATTATAAAACATATTTTTTAAAAAGAGAGAGCAAGAGGAGGAGGGGAGGGAAGGGGAAGATTGAAGCAAATTGGGCACAGATGGGGGATGCAATGGGGTTTCAGTGATGCCCTACTACAAATGTTGCTTCAATTATTCTTTGAGAAACTAGAGTTTTATTTCCTTAAATTACAGAATTTTTTAAAAAATTAAAATTCTTGGAGTGCTTGTGGTTTAGATCAACAAACAGTTCACCCTCCAGCATCACATCAGCCAATTGGATGGCTATTGAAGTGTTAAATACTCAAGCACACGGAGAAGGCCCTTTCTCCCTTCAGACTTAAAATGTTGTACAGAGATTATCAAAGGTGACATCACTCTGGGAACCACCTATCTCACCAGTGTTGGACACAGGCCAGGCAAGGAACACACTGCTTAACAAAGCGGCCCTCCCAGAGCCGTGGCCTTCTTCATCCATGCATTCAACAAATACTTATCAGTGCCTAATAAACACCAGCACTATGCCAAAGCCCCCAAACATCCCTTTATCCTGTCCCTGAAATGTATTGGTTCCCAACCACTTCAGTGTAGAGTATTAGGATTTTAGACTTGTAGTTCCACTGAAGTAGGATTCTGCATAGGACCCATATAAGAAATACAGGTCTCTCCACCAACAATCCTGAATCTCTGAGTTTTAAGACCACTGATGAAACCTGCAAGCTTAATTGGCCAAATCATATGACATAACTTATTTTCCTCTATGTGTGGGAATGGGAGTGAATCTGATCTCACAATCTCTGCCTCCATAATATTTTCTCTCCCTACCATTTAAGCTTTTCCCTCTCTTTTCCCTTCTGCAGCAACCATAGCTTTTAGACAGCCCTGTGTCCATAAGAAAAGCTTTTCTGAAAAGTAATCACACTGAAATGTTAGTAGCAATATAATTTCTATCCTAGACTACTGATATTGTGAAAGATTGCAGTTACACAAGGGTAGCATCTAACACACAAAAAAACGAATGATTCTGAGTATCAGCAAAGGACATTCTTTTTAAGTAAGGAATTCTCTTTTGCACTCCAAATTATATTCCTGACCCCCAGCAATGAGAAGACTCAGGCACAGACTGAGGATCTAGACTGCCATGTGAGCTGCAAGATCACCTCTGTTTCAGGCTGGAATGCTCTCCTTCACAGATTCCAGGAACTGACATATGCAAACACCCACCCAGAAGGACACGTACAAGAAGGAATAGAAAGAAAAATGATGGCCCAGATGTTCTGTAACTTTCAGTGACTGCCAAATGACCATAGGCCCCAAGCACTCAGGAGGGCCAGGCAGCATCAGGCCTTACTTCCTGGTTTCAGACGGCCAGGGACCTGTGGCTGGGTGGCGACTTTGACAGCATGCATACTGGCCCAGAGGGAAATCTTTAGAAGGGCACAGGCTGATGAGATTTGGGGGCTGAACACACAGGGCTGATTTATCACTTCCTTACTCATAAAAATGTGATTCAAACTGCTGCTGATTAGTGAAGGATTTAAATCTTTACCCTTTCCCCAACCCCCTTCCCTTTCCACCCCCAGCACAGATGCTCCTACTCAGCCACAACACCCCCTTCTTGCCACTGTCCGTGCAAGCACAGCACAGGGGCCCAGAGAAGATGACTCATGTGCTGGGAAATGGAAAAGTGCATCTTCCCACCAACCAGCCCTGCTGAGTGCTCCGCTCACCCCTCTCCCAATGGCAGCCCACACAGTGGGGTCTGGACAGCCGCCTCAGCTGCACACCAGGTACTTGGCAGCATGTCCACAGAGCTCTGTGTCCTAGTTGAGTGTTATATCCTGTGGCCTGGGCTGTTTTTCTCTGAAAAACCCTTGGAGCCTCTGACCACCTCAGCTTGGGCTCCTTTTGCCTCATGGAGGTGAGTCAGGGAAAGGCCAGAAACAAGGGCAGGCTTTTACACGTCAAATGAAGGAACTACTTATTTCCTTCTTTGTCTATACTCACCTTCCTCCTTCTACCCCTATTTTCTTAAATTCACTTAACAACAGCTACAAGAAAAGGACTCACTGGTGGCCTATGAAAAACCCCAGGTATTCCTTTCCACGGAGAAGTGGCTGAAAACAGATGCTTCACAGGCAAGGGCTACAGGCCCTTTATAGTCACACCCACAGAGGCTGCAGGTCATCTAACGCTGAACAATACCTCAGGAGAGGCAGCAGCTCTGTGACAGGCAGCTCACTAAACTCAGTAGGCTGTTTTAGTAGAAGGGAAGAAAATGAATAGGAGGGCACCTAGGATGTCCCATTTCCAGAGTTCACTGAGCTTCCTTCTTGGTAGCAGAATCTCCCTCCTCTTTGGACCTCACCAGGGCAGCATTTTACAAACAGTATTTCCCCCTTCCTAGAAACCAGTGCTGCCCTTCATGTTTCTTTACTGCTGATTAAACAAAGAGCCATCTCAAGAATAAGAAGCCAAGTTCAAAAAGGCTACTAAGCCTCTGCAGCTTGCCTTCAGCTGGAAATTATAAACGCTGTAGCAGGCAGCCTGAGAGGAGAAAGTCCTCCCAGTGTCAGATTCGACTAAAACACAAGCTGCCTAGCCAAAGCCCTGGCCAAGTCCCAAGAGGAGCCTTGTTTCCAGGGAAAGTGTGGCACCTTGCTCATCAGGGTAGGAATTCCCCACCACCAGCAAGTTGAGCATAACATCCCAATACAAATGCAAAGAGAAATAAATCAGCTTCAGGGTGAGAGACAGCCCTGAGAAAAGGCGCCACAAGAGAGCTAGTGGCACTCTGTCCAGAAATACCAGATCTGCTTTGCAACAGGCTCTCCATGAGGTAGTTCCTACTTCCTAGCATCTCAGATAATAACCTTCTAGCCCTGAGACCAAATACTCTCTGCCAATCCTCTGAAATGACTCCTTGGCAGCGTGGATCAAATGCTTTAAAGAAATAAAAAATAATGTCACCCCCATACTACACATTCCCATTAAGTCAAACCACATCATCCTTACCTAACTGGGGTTGGAGGAAGAGAAGAAATTTTGGTAACGTGGATCTGGTTGGTCATTAGAATATTTAAAAACCCTGCCAATCTGTCCTTCCCTCCTCCACTCCCCCACTTCCACAAAAAAAACCCCAAAGATTGTTCAGAAAAGCATTTCAGAATGCATATCAGTACACTAGCCAAATTCTAGGCCTGGTGGTTTTTGTGCTTCCAGATTTGAATCACCAAAGCTCATCAATTCTCTGTTCTTACTCTCTGGCAGGCTCCCACAAGGGATATCCCATAGGGAACTGGACTTTTCCATATTGAACAAACAGGGTACATGAGTCCAGAAACAGCTATTCCCAATCCTTGCCAAGCGTATGGTCTCTGCAATGAAACATTTCAGCAATGCCTCTCCCTTGGGAGAGGCTCTGGGTCTGTAGCCTCCAAGAGGCCTTGCTGCTGCCTTAGCATGGCCAGATGTGCAACAGCATCTCCTGGTCTGCAAATTAAGCTCCATATCCATGATTCCTTCCTTCCATATCACACAAGCATTAGAGAGTCTTACTGATTTCAGAGAGTAAACTAAAGCTCTGAAAGGCAATGGTGGGGAGGGCAGCATGTATATATCTGGAGTTAGGGATGGTGATAAAGAAGCGGAGGAAAGAAACTAGGTTGACCTGTCTAGATGAAGTAACTGAACATTCCTTACCTTTCAACTGGGAATTATGTATGGCGAACATGTTGATAGTCATAAGCTGCAGCATACGGGTACTTCCAATAGGAGATGGGCTATGTTGCAGCAACACCTGGAACTCCTTGAGGACCTTCTCAGCCACTGAAGGGAATGTCTCCATCCTGCATATACAAGGAGCCCATCAGTGAGGCACATCCCCAAGAGCACTTGGAGAGTCACCCCCCTACATACACAACCCCTAGAGTAGACAACTAATGCACAGGACTTTTTCTTGCTACTTTCACAAACCATTCTGGTATCCTGCAATTCTGAACAGACTTAAGAAAAAGGAATAAAGTGTTCAGTGTTCAGAGATGGAAACAACTCAATTCTTGGGTAAACTGCTATGAGTTATTATGCCTTGGTATGCTATTTCCTAACCCCTGGCAAACTGAATTCAAGCTGACAAAAAAGTTTCTCTCAGAAACAATCAGTTTTTCTAAGTAGTGAACAAACTTTAAGTTCTAACACCTAACCTCTGCAATGAAAGTTATACTTTATAAAAGAGAGTCCCATAAAGCTAAAGATTCTTTACACATGATTTACTTCAAGAAACCAGACATTGTTTTCCTGTTGTCTCCTGAGATACCACACTGATTGCCCTACCTAAGGATCCCAAGGTTCCCTTTGAAAAACCCTGAAGACCTAGGGCCCTGATGATCTGTTTCAGCCTTTTCTGTGTTGCTGTCCTCCTCCCTCTCATAAGCCTCTGCTCATCAGGGTCTGTATGTTTTCAGGCCAGTGGAAATATAATGCCCTGGCCAACTGCCACTCCCAATACAGGAAGAGCCTGTAATGTAGGGAGGCAGAAATCCAGCCAGTGACCTAGGGCTCCTAAGGAGAGGTCATTCAAATCACTGCTTGCCAAATGTGGCCACTGGATCCTAAACAGTGGTGCATGCCTGGAGCTCCTTTGGCAACAGGAACAAACCACAGCTCAAGTCCTCTGAAGAAAAAAAAAAAAGCAAACTCAAACTTGGTGCTAGAGAGAGAAACCAGGCACATAGGCCTTATGGCCACACTGAACAATTCATGGTCAGCAAAGTATCTTTATCTGCCCACCCCAACCAAACTGCTTGTGGTGCTCTGAGGGGTGGGTGGGGAACAGCTCTAGGCTGGATTAATAAATAGCTTCTGGAAAGCCACAGAGAAGGGAATCCTTCTCAAAAGACACAAAACAGTTTCAAGTCCTAGAGAAAGGTGCTATTAGTTTCACCCCAATTTTGGCCCTTTCCCCATTGAGTAATACCCTCCCCTCAAATAAGAAAACCCTAGAGCTTTCTGGAATCTTGGTTATCTTCATTCCTGCCCTTGGATGGCAACTCCTCTTGCTGACCCTTTGGTGCCCCAAAGTCATGCCACAGATATGGGTCAATTACAGTTTACATTCCAGCTCCCTTCTCTGCTGAGCTGTCCTCATTTTCATTGGCACAAAACATGCCATGCATTTGCTTTTTTCCTCCACATGCCATTTCAAGTGCCCCTCTCTGAAACAAAACTAAACAAACCCTTTTTCCCTCTAAAAAGTTTCGGAGCCACTAAAACTTTTGGTAGATTTGGAATGGCAGAGAGGGATATGTTTGGGGCTGGACTGGATCCATTTTTCCCCATGGGCTATAACAAAGGTTTCATTTTAAATCCTGACACTGTGCAGCACTCTTTCTGGTCGGAGGTGGGGAGGGGGACTAGCACTTCTCATTACGAGAAAAGCAGAGTTCACTCTGCTTGAAAAGCAGCCACACCGGGGAAGTTTCAGAGCCATGTGTCTCCGTGTTGAAAGGCAGTTGAGAGCCAGCACAGAACGACAGGACAGAGAGTCACATGAGACAGTCTTGCTTCGAAGCTGTGTCTGGGGAAGCCTCTTCTCTGGGATTGGAATTGAAACCAACCTATTAATGCTCCCTGGATCAGACTAAAGTCTCACAGGACCACATGTCTAATGCATACCTTTTTTTTTTTGGTACTGGGGATCGAACTCGGGACATTGTGCTTGTAAGGCAGGTGGCAGAACCAGAGCTAAATCCCAGGCCCTAATGCATACCTTTTTTAAAAAATAGTTTTTAAAAACCCTCCCTTCACCTTTCGACTAGTACAATATGATAAAAACAAAAGATAAAAAAAATCAAACGTATGGGCTGGGGATTTAGCTCAGTGGTTCCAGCTCCTGCCTCGCAAGCTCGAGGTCCTGAGTTCAATCCCCAGTACCAAAAAAAAAAAAATCAAACATATAAGGATACAGGTTAGAGTAACTTTATATGCAAGACATAAGAGAAGATGGATCCACCCAAAAGGAATCAGCTTTGCTAAGCAATGACTGAGGGAAGCATACACAAGTCTCCTCTTCAGGGCTCCATAACGCGGCTTCTGCTTCCCAGATTTGTAACCAAAATCCTGTCTGATTTTGGCTTCAAACTACCTGTAAGTAGTTTTGTGTCTTTCTCTTTCAGAAAAAAATCTTTGTCACACCCCATACTACAGAAAGAAAGGTGTACAGAAATTGAGGATATGATGGTATAAAACTTATGTTTAGAAAAAAACACAAAATAAAATGATGTGTTTTTACCAACAAATACCTAAGTATGCAAAGGCATTTAAGAGGTCCTGAAGAATATATAACCTGATGTCTAGTGTTAACCACCTTGGGGTACACAGGAGTTGGGGCAGAGCTGAAAGAAATTTTAATCTTATCTGTAATGTTATATTTTTATAAGGATTTTTTTTGATTATTGCTTATGTAATAATTATAAAATTCAAGCCAAGAAGAATGAGAAACTGTAGCAGCAACAGTAGCAGCAATAGAGGAAAGAAGAGGAAAAACAGATATTCGTGATAATAAAAACTTAAAAGCAACCTAAAATGTCCAACAATAGATTATTAAGGTAGCATATTCACACACTGGGGACTGTTCATATATCTAAAAATTTACACCAAATTTTTTTTTATACACCAAATGTTAAAGGTGGATAGTTCTCTCTGGGTAATGAGAACATCAGTAAATTTTTATTTCTTCTGTCTCTATGTTTTCTGAATATTTTATAATAAGCACTATATAATACAAAAAACGATTTCCCCCACAATGAGTACTTACTTTTGTATTTTAAAACATTTGTTAATTTTTAAAATAAATCAAGACATAGAAACATTATATTTTTATTCGATCCCTGGTACACCCCGCCCCCGAAAAAATACTATATTTTTTAAAATTCAAAGTCCAAAATAAATATATCAGTTTTTGAATTTCAAGAGACTTGAAGCTGTGCAAATTGCATGACCAGGCAAAAGCAAGTAAAAACTAAAACAGTAACTTTAACCAAGGCAATAATCAGAAGCAAAATTATTCCAACTGTCACAAATCAATAGTCTGCAAGCTGCCAGGTTCTCAACCCTCTCAGTGAAAGCCAAGCGCAGGTCTGGCTCTGCTTTCACCAGGAAAGCATCCATCAGGGATCACCCAGCACTCCTGACCATCTCCTCTTCCCGAGTCCAAGAGGACTCCATCCGTATTAAAAACCTCAAAAGATTCGATCACTATCAGGATATGCACTCACTCACTAACTTGAGTGGCTGCCTTGTGAAGTGATCTCTAGAGACACCTTGTCTCATCTAAATGGCAGTTTCAAGAAATCAATCTTTCAGACAACACTGAGACCCAGACTCGAGAATGACTCAGATCATGACTAACAGGGCAGGACCCAACTCCTCAGATGGTGAGGAACGAAGTTAGGCTATATAACATTTCTGCACAAAACAATCAGCTTACTAACTTTACTCAATTTTTTAAAAACTGAGAAAGATAAGATCAATCCAGGAGCTAAATAAAACAAAAAATTAAGCCATGTGACAAGGTGGAAATGAGAAAAAAACATAAGACCTAAAATGCATCTCAGAGATCATCTATTAGACCACTGATAAAGAAACTGAAGCCCACAGAAGCTCTGACTTGTTTACTCTTGACATCTTGTAACTAGTAAGTAGTGAAAAACTCTTTCTGGCACTTGATCTTCTTAAAGCCCTGAACCCCTTGTCTGCTGATGCTAAGAGTAAACAGAAGTCTTGCATGCAGTAGGCATTCAAGTATATATTCACTGATGCAGCCTGGAACACCAGGCACAGAGACCAAGACTTGGAGGAATAGCTACAGGACTTTTCTCAAAAGGCAGGGGGGTAGGGCTGGGGATTTAGCTCAGTGGTTCCGCTGCTTGCTCTGCAAGCATAAGGCCCCGAGTTTGATCCCCGGTACCAATCAATCAATCAATCAATAAATAGCAGGGGGGAAAGTGATGTGGCTTCAGCTGCTCCCCATTACAATCTCCTCAGTCTTAATTTGTTTTCAACGCCTCCCACATTTCACATCTTCTTGGTAATTAGGCAACAGGCCATGATGTTGTGTGTGGCTTGGGCTCACTGCTTTTCTAGTCTTACGGACTTATATAATTTTTTCTTTTTTTTTTTTAAACAATAGAAATGTTACTGCTGTTTCTGCCTTCCTGAATAAATTTGGGCTCAATTTTCTTTTCCTCCAAGACAGCATAAGACGAAAACACATCCAGGAGTTAAAGTATGCCTAGAATTGATATATTTTCCTCTCTGAAAACTAGCATAACATCTTTAATAAAAGTAAAAATGTTCTGGCTTTGTATTTTTGACAACAGAATACATTATATATATAAATGAAAGAGATCCTGAAAAATAATCTGGATTAAATAAACCACTCCAGATAAGTGAGATAATCTATTTTTTTAAGGCCTCCAGAGAAGGAAATTCCCAAACATCTATTCTCTACAAAATTTTCTTATACCTAACCTACATCTCTCCAGCTGCACCTATTTCTCTTACTGTTATCCCACAAAAACAAAGACTATCTGAGGCCAGGGATTTAGCTCAGGGGTTTCGCTGCCTGCTGCGCAAGCGCAAGGACCTGAGTTCAATCCCCGGTACCAAAAAAAAAAAACAAAAAGCAAAGACTATCTGGCTATGACTCCTTTATATTTAAATAGAGGGCACCCTATAACTATCTCTAATTTTTTTTTTTAACCTTAGTGGGCTTTTGTTTTTGACAGTGTTGGGGATTGAACCCAGGGGCTCAAACATGCTAAGCAAGCATTCTGCCACTGAACTACACCTGTACTCAGAAGGGTTTTTTTTTTTAAGATTAATTTTTCCTTCCTTCCAGATCTCATTTTCTAGCTTTTTAATTATTATTGTGGTTTTTTTTCTCAAATGTCTTCCAAAATACATGTGTTTAAATGATAATTTTTAAAGGGAGGAAATAAAAGTTTAATTAACAAAACCTGATAAAAACGTATTCTAGCTGGACATGGTGGCACACACCTATAATCCCAGCACTTCAGAGGCTAAGGCAGGAAGATCACTGCAAGTTCAAGGCCAGCCTGGATTACACAGACCAGTGGTGGTAAACCTATGGCACCAAGCTGCAGTGGGCTGTTATCATTGAAAGCTCTAAAAGACAGGTTTGCTATCACTGACATATTGTCTCAAAAAAATCCCCTAATAAATAAATAAACAAATTCTAAATATTCTTAAAACCTGAAACAAGATTTGTAGTTTTTCAGTCCCAAAAGTCTCTAACAGAGCAACAAACAGCAAAAACAGTAGTTCTGAATGAGAGGCAAACTTGGCCCCCATGGAACATCTGGCATACTTGGAGACATTTTTAGTTATCACAACTTGAGGGGTGAAGTGTGCTAACTTGTAGTGGAAAGAAGCCAAATGGTGCTAAATCCTACAATGCAGAGGACAACTCCCTCAACACAGAATTACCCAGCTCAGGACTGGTAGAATAGCTCAGTGGTGGAGTGTTTGCCTAGATGCACAAAGTCCTAAGTTCATCCCCAGCACTAAAAAAGAAAAAAAAATTACCCAGCTCAACAGTACGGAAGTGGAGAAAATGTGACTTAGATCAACTTGGTATAGGAAAATATAAAGAACAAACATAAGAAAAGGGAAAAAGGAGCAAAACTATTCAGTAAAAAAATAATAAGAGAGCCGGGGATTTAGCTCAGTGGTTTCGCCGCCTGCTGTGCAGGCGCAAGGACCCAAGTTCAATCCCCGGTACCGAAAAAAAAAAAAGAGAGAAGAAGTAAAAAATGAAAACTAAAAAAGATAAAGATAAGGAGTGAGACTACCATCAACTATTATTTTAAGTTCAGTAAAATAGTATTTCCTGCTGTGATGTATTACTTTAAATACAATCTTACAGACATCAATTTCATCTTACCCACTTCATAACTGCAGCTTTTCATTACTCACTAGTGATCAGTTTGGCTCTGGCATAACTTACTAGAATACCAGGTCCTTCTCTCTGGTCTTTCACAATCCATTTCTTATAATAATTCACATATTCTATTCATACAACAAATGTTAAATGAGCACCTACTATATATGCCAGGCACTCAAAATATAACAGTGTGATGCAAAAACTCCAGCCACAGTGGAGCTTACATTGATAGAGGAGGTAGAAGTGGGGATGTGGGAGCTATTAATGCATCTAGTTTATTTTCCCTAAGTGAGTTATTTAAAACTTATTTCTACTGATAGACATTCATCTTTGGGTACTTTTCCAATTTTCCCAAGTCATTTCAAGATCAAAACTACCCTTTGGGCCAGGGATTTAGCTCAGTGGCACCGCGCCTATCTCGCAAGCACAAAGTCCTGAGTTTAATCCCCCGTACTGGGGGAAAAAAACCCAAACAACTACCCTTGCAATGGCATTACCATCATTCCTGCTCAGGCTGGTGCCAAATGAATACATAAGTATACTTTCTAGTTCACCATCCATGGGACAGTGTTTCTTCAAGTAGGTCAAAGCTTTTCAACTTTTCAAAAGACTAAAGTACAAAAGTATGTGGAAACTGACATAGCTTCTGTTCCCACTAGGAAAACTTTCTACAGCATTACAGACAAACTCAGAGTGTTATGACAGAAAGTGAAAGGGAAGCACTGACAATAACTGGAGGGTTACTGGAGGTTTATAATACAAAACAAATCACCTCAAAGGACAGCTCACAGTAAAACTCCAGTTCAGAAAATATTAAAATCCAGAAGATCTCTCTGGGAACACTGCTACCTCCTTCTCTCTTCACTGTTCTGAACCCAGGGAAGGCCTACACAAAGAGATGCTCAGCATACATCTGCTTTGTGAAGGTATGAAGTCAGGATGTATTTATGAGTTTTACACTGTGAGAAAGAACTCTGATCCAAAGGGATACTCAAACCTCAATCTCTTTCCAGGGTCTTATGAAATAAAGTAATAGGGTTCTGCACACATTATTTTCCCTGAGATTTGTATGTAAATCCATGGTGGATGGTAAAACCATAGAACAGTCTTGGTATTTACTAAGATTAGCAACATGATATAGGAAACTGAGCACAAAAGGAAGGGGTATAGGCCAGAAGAACATGGAGGAAAGAAAATGTTCCTCTTGTCTTAGAGGGAAAATCAGTTTTTCCCCAAGGAGGACCCCTGGCAGCTGTACCCAGCGATGTAGCATGACTGCTTTTAGGAGCACATTAGGGGCTGAGGCAGAAGGCAGAGGAAAGAGAGAGCTAGAGAAACTAGGGGAGGGGCTGAGAAAAGACAACCCTTAAAGGAAGAGCAGGTATCCAGTAAAGTTAGAGAAAGAAGAGACAGAGAGTAGTATTTTCTAAACTTCATGAACATAGTAGAAGAGAAAGAAGGGAAGAAAAGGTGGAGGCCTTTAAGAATTCACACCCTGTGCCCTCAGTTACAAACACAGTCTAGTTGCTAACAATATTAAATTCCAAAATGACTTGTAATGTAGGAAAATAAAGTAAACATCCTGCACACTTACCCAATCCGGGTAAACAGCTTCCCATGGGCATGGAGAAAACTGAGGATGAACCTTTTGTTCAGCTGCATGGGAAAAAGGGAGAGGAGAAAACAATTAAACTTTCCCCAGTTTCCTGTGTTACTGAACAGAGTCCCTAGTGACATAATAACCTGGCCAGGGCCTACAGGGTAGGCACTGGGGATGGGAACCAAAAAGACATGCCCAAACTCTCGTACAGACCCAGGGCACATGCCCAACAGCTGCTCGTCAGCTGAGCCAGGGTGATAGCAGGCTCAGTGAGTGGGCAGCACCCTCTGCTGGTAGTGGCGCCTGTGTACAAGGAACAAAGCAGTGAACAGGAAGTATGAATATAAGGGAAGATGGCTGCATCTCTCTGGGGTCTATAAGCCACTGTGGCTCCATAATGATGGAAATGAAATTCTGACAGAAGCGGGGATAATAGTGATTTTGGAGAAATCCTGACTTTATGTATTTTTTTTTTTACCTACCCAGGACAGCAGGACTCTTCTTTGATAACCAAAGATAAGGTAACCCATTGCTAATTAGCTCATCAAATTGTACTTCATAAGCTTTCAAAACTGAAATTCAAATTCTAGGTTTGCAGCTGAAAATTCAAGTTGTCTACAGAGATCAGACATAAAGGAGGCTGGTAGGAACAGTAGCAACCTATTACTACTACACTCTAATTCTAGCCAAATCTTCTACAGAGGTCCAAATTGGAAACAAATCTGGGTTTTTATGTGAAATTCTTTGGCTTTTAAATATTGGTTACTAATGAAAAAAATTAAACATTCAGCAAGCCAAAAATACATGTGTAAGATAGCATCTTTAATAAATTGTGCTGGAAAAACTGGCTATCCACATGGAGAAGACTGAATCTAGACCCATATCTCTCACCATGTACTAAAATAAAATCAAAATGGATCATAGATGTTAAACAGAACAGTTAATTTGCTAGAAGATAAACTAGGTAAAACTCTTGAAGTCTTAGGTGTAGGTAAGGACTTTCTGAATAGAACCCCAATTGCACAAGAGATAACATCAAGAATCAACAAATAGGATATCAAATTAAAAAGCTTCTGCAAAACAAAAAAACCACAACAGAGTGAAAAGACAGCCTACAGAGTGGGAAATTTTTTTTGCCAGTTATTCCTCAGAGAGAGAACTAATATCTAGACTATATAAAGAACTCAAGGGGCTGGGGATTTAGCTCAGTGGTTCTGGCGCCTGCCTCAAAAGCACAAGGTCCCAAGTTTGATCCCTGGTACCAAAAAAAACCCAACTGAAAGACTCCCTAAACCGAAAGACTCAATAAAAAAGTGAGAAACTGAAATGAACAGATTCTTCTCAGAAGTACAAATGGCTAATAAATATATGAACATCGCTGGTCATCAGAGAAATACAAATTAAAACAACACCCAATTCTATCTTATTCCAGAAAGAATGGCTATCATCAAGAAATCAAATACAGTAATAACAAATTCTGCAGAGGCTGCAAGGAAAAAGGAACACTTCTACATTATTGGTAAGAATGTAAACTAGTACAATCACTATGGAAATCTGTAGAGTGATTCTCAAAAAACTGAAAAACTAGAAATTCCATTTGATCCAGCTACTCCCTTTCTAGGTATATTTCCAAAACAGTTAAAAACATCAAATTACAGTGAGACATGCATACCCATATTTTTTAGCAACACAATTCATAACAGCTAAATCTTGGAAGCAGCCTGTACCTATGTCCATCACCAGATGAAAGGTACTTATATACAAGGGAGTACTACTTTGCCATGAAGAATAAACTAGAGGGATTCTTAAGTAAATGGATGCACCTTCAGATCATAATGTTAAGTGAAATAAATCAGACACACAAACTTACATATTACATAGTTTCTCTTATATGAGAAACCCAAAATATAAAGAGCAGAACAAAAGATGGAGGCCGGGAGTGGTAGTGCATATTCTCACATCACGAGTAACTTCAACATCATTGATATAAAACTTCAGTCTATTTTTTTCCTTAACTGAATTACATTACAATAATTGGCAATACTGGATCCAAACACTGATTGATGTAGTTAAAAAGATCAGGACACTTCATTGAAGATAACCTGTCTTTAAAGTTAGGTTAAAAAAAAAATTACGTGAATCAGGGTCAGGGAATTGGGTTCCATTTACAGAAGGGAAATGTGAGGAACAACTAGAAAATAAATTGTCAGTGGTCAAACTGATGTTAGTGGTAAAACCTGAGCTAGAATGTAGGTCTCTGGGTCTACTTGTAGAGGAAGACAGTGTGAGGCAGGGACCTTCCCACCAAACCAATTTCTGTTTAAATTCCATCGCTGACATCTACCTGCTGTGGAATCTCAGGCAACTGGCCTTACCTCCTTGAGCCCTACAAGCCTGTATGGTATTGGGTTACTGCAATGATTACATGAGACAATCATCATGTTAAGCATGCCTGACTTTACTAAAACAACCCACTCAATTGTTTCCTTAACACTCTCTCCTAATGAACAATAAAGTAAATGGTCAAATGTTAACAATTGGAGAACCTGAGAGAAGGACAAGTGAGAGTTCTTTGTATTACTGTTACAGCGGATCCTTGACTTACGAACAAAGAATACAGGGCCAGGGATGCAGCTCAGTGGCACTGCACCTGCCTGGCAAGCACAAGGTCCTGAGTTCGATCCCTAGTACCACAAAAAAATAGAGAAAGAGGACTTTGGTAGGAACAGAATGATACTAATCTATCTCATTCAAGTTCAATACCAACCCCTAAGATTGTGTGAAAAATAAATATTTTATACAAGCCCTGGAAATTATTCCTTGAGCTGGGCATGGTGGTGCAAGCCTGTAATTCCAGCATTTGGGAGGCAGAGATAAGAGGATCACCATGAGTTCTAGGCCATGGGATAAATAGTGAGTTCAAGGCCAGCTTAAACTACATAGAAAGACCCTGTCTCAACAAACAAAAACACTTCCTTGAAATTGCAAAAAAGTGTTTTGTGAACCTTGGAGCAAGAAAGAAGAAAAAAGCTGCAGTGGCAACAATATAAGAGGATATTCTGAAATATGCCCAATTTTAATTCCTAAATAGTTGTTCCTGCTCTGACACAGTTGCAGAAAACCAAACTTCTGAAAAGTGAATCATTCTAAGGACATTAAGAATGCTCAGTATTAAAAGAATTCCAAAGTGCATTTTTAAAGTTTTTTTTTGGCAGGGAGAGGGGTATAGGAAGTATACTAGGGCCTTCAATTCAATTCCCAGTACTGCAAAACAAATAAACAAGGGATTCTATTCTATTAATTAAGAGATAACATACATGGAAACCAAATTTCAAGAGTACCTGTTAATAAAATGTCCTAGACTTTCAGAACAGTCAACTAAAGCCCATTTCTCAAGCTTTTTGAAAGCCTGAGATCACAGAGTATCAGAGGATGGGGGTATACTGGTAATGCTGCCCACTCATCACCCTCATGTAAGACAAGGTCCCTCATGGCAAAAATATAAACAAATAAAATTCTATCTTGCCAGGTCCCCATTTATGTTTCCAAATGTTAAGACAAGGCCCTAACAACTATGAAGGTGCCAGGAAGCACTGATTCCCTCACTATCACAATCCCTTCGAAAAGGTCTTTGGGGTATGTCTGATTTAAGAACATGATAAAGAAAGGGAAGAAGGAGGGCCAGGGATTTAGCTCAGTGGCACAGCCCCTGCCTCATAAGTGCAAGGTCCTGAGTTTAATCCCTGGTATCAAAAAAAAAAGGGAAGAAGAGGGTCTTGGCACACAAAATGTGGAAATTCTGTAATACAACAAGTAATCATTTAGAAAGATAAAAGTTATAGGGCCAGGGATTTTGCTCAGTGGTTCCGGCGCCTGCCTCGCAAACACAAGGTCTCGAGTTCAATCCCCAGTACCAAAAGAAGAAAAAGTTTATTTAGTATTTTCAGCACTCCTCTTTCTAGGATGAGCAGATGAGCAGATGAGCAGAGAAGCATGACTTAAACACCTTACAGGAAGACAGAGCAACTTAAAATCAATAGTCATATCCCTCCCATGTACCAAAGAGCTACACCAACACTGAGATACAACCAGGATGGTAATTATTCTTCATTCGTACTTTCTTTACCCCTGAACTGCCCTGAGCAAAACAACAGCTCAACTAGCTATAATTAAGTACAAGTTCCATACAGGGGTGCCCCATTTAGATGGCTAGATCTGAGCCATGTGCATTTAAGTGTAAAACGTATCTTTTAAAAGTACTTAGATGTAGTCTTAATACTTGAAACAATGCCTCTTATCCTTGTACTGCAGTTTAATGCTACCTAAGCAGTTTAACACTACCTAAGTAAAGTCTTATACAGTATTAGAACAATTCACCTGCTATTACTTCATTATCTCTTCTAGTTAGAACAGCAGACTGAAGGGAAATTGGGCTAAATGTCAAATCAGCAGTCAACTTCAGAAAACCCAGCCGCAAGCACAGGGACAAGAATACCGAGCTTAAAGTACCTAGCTAGATCTTGAGGGAAATCTTTACCAAGGTATAAAAAAAAGGAGCTGGGGGTCAGGGATTTAGCTAAGTGGTTCCGCCGCCTGCCTTGCAAGCACAAGGACCCAGGTTCGATCCCTCGTACCAAAAAAAAAAAAAAAGAAAAGAAAAGGAGCTGGAGGGTTAGCTCAGTAGCAGAGATTTGCCTGACATGTACAAGGGCCTAAATTCAATCATCAGCACCAAAAAAAAGGGGGAAAAAAAGTAAAAAAAATTAAAGAAAAGTGTCATGAAAATGTGACTGTTATATATTTAATGTTCATATGCTTACTAGGTAGAAAGAACAGGACAGAATGATACGGACAAACACTATGATGAACACTGTTCCTAGAGTTAAAGATTTAGGCCGAAACTGGGGTTATTTGATTTATTTGCAAATCACATCAAGTATCTAAGCCTGTTTCTTCGACAATAAAATGATTAAATGAGAAGGTTGAGAGGTCAGCATGGATGATTTTATAATCCTGAGTACAGGTATATCACCTGAGCAGCTTTTATTAAAAAATA